CCAGCAGGCAGCTCCTGCGCTGAATCACCCTCATGCACCAGCCAGCCGGCTCAGCATCTACACATGCACTGCTGTGTACGAAAAAACTCTGCAGCAGGGTAGTACTTATATTTACAGCAACAGACAATTTACAAGCACTACACTGGTGCAGTGTTTATTACTTTTGTGCACCCTAATAGAGGTGCATGTGTAGACACTGAGATGTTTACTGTGCTGTTAATTAGTCAACTGCGCAGTAAATGTCTCATGTAGACATGCCCAGTTAGGTTATGTTAAAGTACTAGTGACATTTTTTTGAGCTTCAACTGTCTTTGAAAAAGAACTTTGGACACAGAGAAATTATTGTGAGACTTTGAAAATAGGTATTAGGTTAAGGTTCTTAGTTCATGTCTCCTGACAGCTTTCTCTATGCAGCTGCAGCCTTTTCCAGTTTGCTTGAACAGACTCCTGGCACCAAGGGGCTTAAGCATGCTCCTGCTCTCAGACTTGCTATTCTTGTCCCTCTGTACTTGATCTTGTGGCCTTTGTCACCAGTCTGCCTGGAGCTGAACCTTTGGTGTACTTCTTTATTTGAAATATGCCTTCCTTTTTTATGAGCAGTGTGGGTGCAGATGGAAGTGCAGCACCCCCGCTGTAACTGGGAATGCTTTGAAGGAAGCTTTCTGAGTTACAACGATTCCCTGAACCAAACAGAAACCTTTGGGGCTCCAGTACACCCACCCCACCCTCCAGTGGGGGCTGAAAAGACCCCAGACCAAACTCCCTCCACACCTTTCCCCGCCCCCATTATGAAAACAGTTCAAGGCTGTCAGGCAGGAAGACAAGTTAAAGAAAATGCTGTTTTGAAACTTCTTCATCTGAACCCTGAGGGTGCAGACAGAAGTGACAATTTTCACCCAATCTGGCCACAGAAAGTGGTCTATAGCTATGACCAAATTAAGTGCATGGCTGCAGACTGCTTAAAAAATGGTCGATTGGGCAAACATCTGAACCCTTGTTGCAGGGTTCTAGGCAATGTCCTCAAATGAGTCCACTGCCCTTGGAGCCATGCTGGAACAGGCAAGAGCATCTCTAGAGCTCTTCCCACTCTGGGCCAGCCCCCAGCCCTGGGGCAGCCAGAGACAGAGGCAGTGGTGGGTGCGTAAGGGCAGGGGAGGTGTCACTGACTATACGGGGAAAGAAGCGGGGGTGGGAATGCCTATCCAAATTGGGGACTTTAAGTCCCCAGCTGCTGTTCCTGTGGTAGTGTTGACTGAAAGAAGGGGGGTATTTGAGCCACTGCATCCCTTCTGGATCCACCCTGGCTCCTGCTTATCACTTGGTATAAACTGGAGAAGTATCAGAGTTGCTCTCCATTAGATGTGGTGGCTGATGCCCCTGGAAAGCTGTTTTGGGAGCTGATAAGACTTTAGAGAACATGACCAAAGTCCTGCTGAGCTGTGGGCTGTAGAAAAGGCGCCCAATGGACAGTATGCAACAAATAGAGTTGCTGGAATGGGACAAAAGGGGATATGTCAGGATGGAAAATTCTACCCTTGATCAAGGAAATGTAGTTTCAAACCCACTTTGAGTGCAAGACACCTAAAACCTGTGCGGGCCGTCTCCAGATCCCATCCTCGTCGCCATGTGCGGGCGGCGGGGAGCGATCCGGGCCCTTTTTCGCACCGCGCGGGCTGTGGCCAGCAGCCCGGGCTCGCTGGGTTGGAGAGAACAGGCGACACGCTGGAATTAGGCACGGACGCGTAATGGTTGATTCAAGATTGTTTACTTACACCGAAGATGGTCGCGGTGTAGGCTGGACAGTTTCCCAGGCACAGCTCTGATTAAATCCTCGTTTGAGGACTCTGACAATATTCGATCGCTCCCACGGAGTTGTCGAGGCTCCGTGGATCCTTTTGTTCACTCACAATTCACTCACACGAAGTTTGCTAGGCTCCGTGGGTCCTTTTTTTGCGCGCAGGGAGAGGGATACGTCGAGGATTGCGCTCGGTGACGGGGAGAGGCTAGAGGCTGATCAGACCCCTGTTGCCTGCTTTAAATGCACTGGGTTCAATAGGTTCCCCAGCGCTTAGAGATCTTCACACAGCGTGAAGTCTCCTCCTCCTGGTGTTCGTGGAGTCCTCCCTTACGGGGGTTCTCCTCGGAGTTCTCCAACTTGGGCGGAAACCACCCAAGCCTTTTATACGGCTAGCAAGCCAATCACTAGCCGCCACGTGTGAATAATTTAACGCAAGCCAATAATGGGATTCAAATTAGAATACAAATGGCGGGAACTCTTTGCAATGAGCATTTCTGTGCTGCAACAAGAAATGCACCCTGCAAAGAAAGCTACAAATTGGCGGGAATTCTTTTGCACCGGGGCTTTCCTCTGCAGCAGAAAACTCCACCATGCAAAGAAGCTGCAATTTAGCAGGAACATAATTCAGTGGTGCCAAAGCACACACAAAACAAAAATCACACCCTTTGGGTTGTGACAAAACCCAGGTCTCCTACTCCCAGGCAAGTATCCAATACACTAGGCTCGCTGGTAAAAAGGTGGGAGAGCCTTCTTCTAGCATCTTACACCTGATATTCTTGGGTTTTGCCTAACTAAAATGTTAGGACTTGCCCAGCCTTATGCACATAGCTGGACGACTTCACTTCCCATGCAGCGGCGAGCCACAGTGCAGTCTTTCTGAGCACACTCAGTAGGCTAGCTGGGACAACACTGAATCGGGAACTGTATGTAGGTGCCATAACATGCGGTTACTCAGCACACAAAGTAAAGTGGAATTGAGCCTTAAGTGACTTGCTGAAGGTCAAAGAGCAGTGGTGGGCAATTAGTTGGGCTAGGGGGGCCACTTAACAAGTTTTGGTGAGCTATTGTTTGCTGCACACATAAAATAAATGGTTTTTAACAACAGATATAATTAAAATTGTTTTGGCACTGACAGTTTTCTGCACAACATTGCTATATTTCCACGTATCATTCTGGAAAAAGTTCCCAAATTACCACACAATTTCGCAAATATCATATGTTCATAAACATTTCCACAAAACTTTTCCCAAATTACAGGAATCACATTGCAAAAATTTCCATGCCTCCTCCCTCTGTGCTGTGGCAGCGCCTGGTGCCAGGTCCTGCTCATGGCTCCTGTACGCACCCCTGTGGCTGCACTGCCACTCACCTGGTGCAGGCCATGCTGCACTCCCCACTGCAGTGCAAGCCCGGGGTGTTACAGATCACAATGGGTGCCCCATGTCTGCCGCGGCTGGAGCACAGTGTGACTTTTGTGGGCTCCCCGAGAGTGGCGAACCCATCTGGGCACAAGGTGAGCAGAGGGGCCAGGGACAGGTGCTGTGAAGCCATGTCCCTTCGGCACTGGCTCCATGGAGAAGTGGCTTGGTCCACATCCTGTTTGGCTATGAACCCTGAAACTTGGGGGAGCACAGGGAGGGGAGTGGACAGGTGCTGCATCTGGTGAGGAAGGACATTTCCCAGCTACTTTGCCAGCTCTGTACATGCACAAAAGGCCCCAGGGCACATGTTGCTGCTGTTCTGCTGCTGCATCTGGACCTGGAGTGATGCTGTCCTGCTGTGGGCAAGGGCAAGGGTGAAGCATTGGGCCCTGCTGTCCTTTGGTGATCAAGTGCAGACCTAGGAGCCAGAAGGCCCATGCACAGAAGTGATTCTCCATGCTTCATGCCATTTCCACACTTACTCAAAATAGCAACACTTTTTAATATGCTAACAAATGTGATACAGGTCTACCCAAAACTTATCCATGGCCAGGCAGAATTATGGCCTGTGGGCTATATTTTGCCCACCGTGGCATAGAGGCAATCTTTGTAAGAACAAGGAATTGAACCTGGGTTTCCCAAACTCAAGGGCAGCAGTTCAATTCTTGGACCACTGATTTTCCAAAAAGAGACAAGATCACAAAGGAAAAGGCTGTCAATTCAATATATTCAAAACAAACCTAAAGGAAGAGCTGATATGTTTATTACTTTAAAGTGACACTTAATGAAGTAACAGAAATGAGATACTTGCATCTTTAGGAATCATGACACCTCTAGAAAGAGATAATTACAGGCAAGAGCAGATGCCATTTCCATATATCTGAGTCTCTTGGTAAACTGGCCAGGCAACAAGAAAAGATAAGTAAGGTCTCTTCCCTGGGCAGGTGCTATGTACTTCTGATGCTCACTCACACCGCAGAAAATTGAGTGCACTTTGGGCAACCATTAGAAATGCAATACACCCTCCACCTGCAATGCCCCCACTGCAATGTATTGCTCCTCCTTGCCCCTCCTACACAGGACACTATGAAAGCACAGGAGATTTGTAAATCAAAATTACTGTTTGTTTATATAACAAATGCCAGGGCTACGAAAGAGAATATGATCCCAGAGCACTTAGGCCTTATTTATATGAACAGGTTAAAGCTAACTCATTTCTTTTGGAAAGACACCTTTCCTAAAAAATAGCAGATGTCTGCCCATCATTTGTATCAGTTTAAATAAACTGGTTTCATATCACACCATTAGTGAAATCTGCACATCTTTCACATGGAGAGAGGTTCTTAACAGAAAGCTCAGCTGAAGATGAAATGTTTCAATGGCACTGATTAAACTTGGATTTATAATCCTTACCTTTAGAAGCCTTTCTACTCTAAGGAACTTTTCTGAGAGGGACTTTTCTGAGAGGTTCATGTTCCCTGCCACCCCAAATAGAGGTACTATATAATCAAAAAAGATTTATACACCAAGGAATGGCTACAGGATTGTACATTACTCCTGGACTACTGGAAGCCAAGAAAAAGTGCAGCAAAGAGTGCAAAAAGCCCAAATATTTTAAGCATATATGAGTAACATGTTGAAGAATCTTCTACAACTCGTGTTCTTATTGGTTTCAGTATCTGGTCCCACTGGGTTGGGATGGCATTCCTGGCTCTGGCCCATTTCCCTGGTCCAGTCAGGCGATACTGATAGTTGGTGCATGGACCAAAGGAGATTTCCAGGGCCAGTTTGGGGTCCTTGAAGAACAGGGCCAATAAATTGGGGGTTGAGCCAATGAAAGAGGGAAGTTCATCAACGTAGACAAGATAATTTGTTTTTAGAACTTCATCAGAGGAGAAACCGACCTTAGTGAATCAGAAAAGAAAGAGAGAGGATGTCACTTTGACTGATAAAACAGAGTCTGTTACTGAAATTCACCCCGTTTCCTAGTTTGCACAAGTATTTAAATGTGGTGGGGTATCTTTGGACAAATATTCCAAATGTCCTGGATAATTACAAAGCTGCCAGCTAAAAGATGGACTTCAAATACTTTACCTGCAAGCTTATTAAATCGACACTGGGCTTTAGGGCCCCCCAAGGCTGTCCCCATTATAGTATAGGGAGTGCCTGCAGCACTGGTATTTGCCTTCTGCTGCTTCCCATAGTTCAGATGGAAGTCAAGGTTCTCTGTGTTATGTAAACTTGGCTTACCAGCAATTTTTTTCTGCTTTTTCTCTTTGATCTCTTTCACCATGGTGTTCACTGGAAGCAACTGACACAGGCCTAGGAAACAGAAAAGAGGTTCCCCATTAAGGGCTTGTCTTTAGTAAGAGTTTCATGTGTTACCAACAGGGGGGTTGTGAGAGTGTCCTGCATGATTTCTTGAGTTTATTTTACTAATGTGGCATGTGTAGTCTCCATGTAAAGGTAACATCAAGCTGTAAATAACCTTATTGTCCTTATGCTTTTTTGCATCTTAGTAATTGATATAAATGTAATTTTGATATACCTTTGCACTATAGCTGATGATGTTTTAGTGGGGCAGTGATTAATTTAAAGGGCCCTCACTTATTCACACTTAGAAGAGGCCATCCCTTAGAATTGCTGGGTTTTTGGTTGTAGCCGTGTTAGTCTAAGGACATAGGCAGGCAAGGATCTTTGGGTAGATGTGATATCTTTTATTAGACCAACTGAGTAGTTGGAAAAATGTTCTTTGCAAGCGTTTGGCCACAATCAACCTTCTTCAGGCAGTCTCTGCTGTTCTGAGATATCCAAGGAATGAAAGAAGCTGAAAGTGTGACAGGACATCAGTGGGAATATAAATTGGTGGAAATTAGGAAAAACAAAGGTAGAGAAGGGAAAGGAAGGCAGGTTCTTTGAATCATCAGCAGGGATCCGGGTTTTCCATTTCCCATGGGAAAACAGTAAAACATGTATTTGACCTTTTGCCAGAGGCATGGGCAACTGGTGCCGCCAACTGGGGGAGGGGGGTCCCCCACAGACGAGCCAGCAGACCGGAGGGAGGTGTGTTGTGCCATGCCAGGTCATGCCCACTGGGCTGCAGAGGCCCCAGAGGAGGGAAGCAGGGTGGGAACTCAAGCCCACAGACTGCACCTGCCCCGTGTACAGATCTGGGGGGACACAGGTCCCCACTGCCCCTCTGGGAGTGCGCGCGGTGGCAGAGAACCGCCCCCCTCCCCCCGGCCTGCAGCAGGCAGCAGGGGGGAGCGGGGGCAGGGGGCTACAGACCCAGGTCCATAGCTCTGGCAGCTGAGGGCCCCCTCCAGTTGGGCTGGGGGAGCAGGGGCTGTGGTTGGGGGATGAGGGGCACCAGCAAGGCTGTGGGGGGGAGTGAGAGGCTGGAGCAGGCCTGGGGGTGGGGTGGGGCTGTGGGGGTCCTTTAATTTTAATCATGGATTTTGGGTTTTTTATTAGAGAATTTTCAATTTTTTATCAGACAAATTAAGATATTTCATCAGGGAAAACCAGGATCCCTGCTCATCAGCCTTGCCTACTTGCCTAAATGCTCTGAGGGATGGAAGTCAGGCTATGACCAGACAATGGTGAATTTGTGTTTTAAAAAGAAAAACTCTAGCAAAAAGTAACACCTTGAAACAGAGAGACTGCACATTGGATTAGCAAATTTCCATATCTGAAAGGATGCGTTTATGTTCTTGGTCTTAATTAGGTCAATAAAGATTTTTGCTCTAGCAAACAGCCACTTTTGGGAGGTAGGAAGTTACCGGCGTATAGTGTGAGCCCCCTTTAGAATAAAAATGAGATTATGTGAGTCAATAGCCAGATAGGTAATTGTACTTAAGCCTGCCTGAGAACTTGCCTTTGCGTTAAGTCTTCCTGAGTACAGGGGGGCTGTAGTTCCTTAGATTGAGAAAAGTTTGATATCTTTCATGTTACAGGGGCATAGGTTGTAGTCGTGTTGGTCTAAGGTCATAGGCAGACAAGGTTCTTTGGGTAAATCTGATATCTTTTAAGAGTATTTATACCTGAAATCTTGCAAAGAAGAATTTTTCCAACTATTTGAGTTGGTCGAACAAAAGATATCAGATTTACCCAAAGAATCTTGTCTGCCTTAGACTGAGCAAGGAAGGCTGAGTAAAGAAGTTGACAAGAGAAACTGCAGGAGGCTCTGGAGATGATGTCAGTGGGAACAGCTGCTTTTTAACTTGTTGAAGCTGGCTAGGGACTGCATCCTTGGATTTAAGGCGCAGGGTAAAAGCAGGGTATTGTTTGGTTATTTTCTTGTGTTTGTTTACTCTTATATCTCTGTCTGTATCTCAGTACATGGTTCTTGATTTCTTACCTGGTTCTTGTTTTTTATACTAAACCCTTTCTGTTATCTTTTTACAAACCACTTCTTGTCAGTGGTCATGTCTGCATAAGATGTTTATTGCTGAGTAGACTAATTAGTAGGGGTGTGCGAAGCGGGCCAGATTCAATTCGGATTCGGCCTGAATCGGGGACAGTGATTCGATTAGTTGAGTCAGATCACTGTCCCAATTTGATTTGGCTGAATCCGAATCTGAAGATTCAATGCTGATTCAGAGAATCAGTGATTCGGCCATAGACACAGCTTAACATGCTTTTTCTACATACCTTGAGGTAACAGCGCAACTCGTGAATGCTGCAATACTGGGGCTCATGGAGCGTCCCAAAGGAATGCGGGGAGGAGGGAGCCCTTCCACATGTTCGGTGGTGAACCCGGAAAAGGACTGGAAGTGCTTCTGGTCTGCTTACAGGTCTGCTGTCAAGCACGTCGAGGACCCACCCCGTGCTCCTGTGGGACGCTCCACGTGCCCCAGCATCGCAGCATTCACAAGCTGCCTACTACCCATGTAGAAAAAACATTTACAGCTATGTCTATGTCCGAATCTCCAAATCTTTCCGAATCTCTCCAAATTGATTCAGAGGGTTCCAGTTCAATTCTCAGAGATTAAAGGGTCCTTTGATTCAATTCAGATTCAGAGATTCAGCCACTGAACCAGGTCAAATTGAATCAGGAACCAAGGCTTCACGCAGCCCTACTAATTAGCTCCACAATAAACATCTCAGCATCTACACGTGAAATGCTATTAGGCTGCAGGAAACGAATTAACTCCTTGTAATTTCAAGTACTATCCTGCAGTGGAGTTTTGTATTCCACAGGAACACATGTGTAGATGCTGATGGGGTGGCTCAGGCATTAGGGTGCTTCATTGTGGGCGCCTGCCTGCCAGCTAGCCCCCAACTAGAGCAGCCAGCCCCTCCACAGCACACTGAGCTGGAACAGAGCAGTGCTGGGTTAGCAGGCTGACCCCCTGGGCCCCCTGCCAGCTGGGGCTGCTTCAACCTGGCTCAAGATGCTGCAGTCCTGGGTGCACATTCAAATGCAGTGACCAGGAGCAATAAACTTTGGCGTAATATGTGCCAGAGTTTATTGCTGCGCATTAATAGCACATGTAGATGTGCCCAATTATAATTGTGAGTCTATGATATCTGACCATACAGGGTCACTCATTCCACAGAAAAGACTTTCATAGATTTCATAGACATTAGGGCTGGAAGGCACCTCGAAAGATCATCGAGTCTAGCCCCCTGCCCCAGGGGCAGGAAGTCAGCTGGGGTCATAGGATCCCAGCAAGATAAACATCCAAATTTCTCTTGAAGGCATTCAGAGTAGGTGGTTGTACCACCTCCAATGGCAGGCTCTTCCAGACCTTGGGGATTCAGACAGTAAAGAAGTTCTTCCTTATGTCCAGCTTGAAATGGTCTTGCAGGAGTTTATAACCATTTGACCATGTCATCCCTTGGGGTGCTCTGGTGAACAATTGTTCCCCCAGATCCTGGTGAACATTCCTTATAAACTTATAGATGGCCATCAGATCACCCCTGAGTCTGTGCTTTTCCAGGCTGAAGAGTCCCATAGCTCTCAGCCTCTTGTCATAAGGTCTGTTTTCTTGACCTCTGATCATGTGTGTGGCTCTTTTCTGGACTCTCTCAAGCTTCTCCACATCCTTTTTGAATTGGATGCAGTACTCCAGCTGCTACTTCACCAAGGCTGAGTACAATGGGAGAATGATGTCCTGGGATTTGCTTGAGAAACATCTATGGATGCAAGCCAGCGTTTTGGTCGCTTTACTAGCCGCAGCATCACACTGAAGGCTCATGTTCATCTTGTGGTCAATCATGACCTTCAAATCCCTTTCATCCGTAGTGCTAGCCAGTGTAGCACTGCCAAGCCTATAAGCATGCTGCAGGTTTTTCCTCCCAAGGTGGAGAACCTTGCATTTTTCAGTGTTAAACACCATCATGTTCTCATCTGCCCATTTCCTGAGCCTGTCAAGGTCAGCCTGGATCACCCTCCTGTCCTCAGGTGTGGATGCGTTACCCCAAAGTTTGGTATCATTGGCGAACTTGGCCAGTATGGTTCTGACTCCACAGAGTCTTCACAGAGCTGTCTCTTCCTTCTGAATCGTTTCCAGATATTCCAGCCAATTTAACGCTTCTGAATGGTTCTGATAACGTACAACCACTCAGATTCCTTTTACTTCAACTGTCCTTAGGCTGACCAATAGCAGTACAAGCCTTGCATTTCTTTGATAAGGTAATTTCAACTACACCACAGGGCCTTACTACTTCAAGGCTTTGCTAAATGTACCAGGCCTTACTTTATATGAGGCCTCACTACATCTTAAACTTTAATTAGGCTTTTAGCAACAACATATAGCTTAATATCTAAAAAAATGCAGAAAAACACTTAGTCTAATCTTCATAGAGCCTTCAGCAAGCACCTTTATCACACAGACATAATTTCAGCTGTCACAGGCACCACATTGGCCTTCTTCCAATCTTTGGGCACTTTGCCAGGCCTCCAGGAGTTCTTGAAGCTCTGTGCCAGGGGCTGAGCTATGATGCTTGCCAGCTCCTTGAGTACCCTGGGGTATAGATTGTCAGGGCCGGCTGACTTGAAGGTATCCAGCCTCTCAAGGTGTTCCTTCATGAGGTCAGCATTGATGAGGGCAAGGAATCTCCCTCACCCAGGCCTCCCTGTCCCATGATGGGCAGGGGTGTCCCAGGGGACCAGTGAAAGACCAATGCAAAGTACCCATTTAGTAAGTTGGCTTTTTTCTGGGCATCAGTTGTCAGTTGTCCTATCTGGTTTAGCAGGGGTCCAATGTTGCCCTTGCTTTTCCTCTGGCTCCCCACATATCTAAAATAGGACTTTTTATTATCCTTGATACTTATAGCCAGTTGGAGTTTCGTCACAGCCTTGGCTTTCCTGGTTC